TGCTTCGCCAATTTTCAAAACTTCACAGTTTAAAAATCGGCCGGGTATCTTTAAGAATATAGAAAAGTGACAGAAATATTTTCTTGATTTTATGAAATTAGTAACTATCGCTTTGATAACTTCCTACAGTGACGAAGAAGTGACATCGTGGCGATAGGCGATAAAATTTTCTTCAATTTGCTACAATTGATTGCGCAATATAACTTTACGTGTCCCAAATTAAAGACAGATATGTATATGCGTTTATTGAAAGTAAAATGAAAATTTTCGCAACACCCATAAAACACAATCCACTGCAAAATACACCAACCCAGACTATGCATTCGTAGCCAGAACCTTCAGGAAAGTACATAGCCTTAAAAACCACGCGTTGGTCAAATTACTTTTGCCCAAATAAAACTCAGCAAACTCCTTAATTAAATATTAAATCCACAAAGCACAAATATGTATTTCACTTTGCAGAGCTATCAACAACATTCGCCAGCATTAAAGCCACTGACCAAAAGAAACATTGACATGCCAGTAAGACTAATAAAATGCTAAATGCGTAGCCAATAAAAAACAGAGATGCCAACCAAACCACACTTAGACTCAGCAGCAATTGAAATTTGCTGGAAAATTCGTAATTTACGTGCGTCAGAATACAAAAGAGATTGACACCGCAGGAGCGGAGAGATGACAGACGGGGTAAGAAAAAATAAGAAAAAAGAAATTCCAATCTGTAATCCATTGCGTTGAAGTGTCAAGAGACTGTTCAGCCAAACTGAAACTGCAAAAAGTACATAATGCCAGCTTGCTTTAAAGCACATAACAACGAAAATACGCGTAGATAAAGGAAAAAGGCAGAAATTTAATGCGCTGAGCGTTTGAGTATAACAAATATTTGTGCTTAAGGTATACTACATGGCTGGGTTTAGTTGTGCGTGGGTGGCATAGCATACTTCATGGCGCACGCACAACTAACTGCACGCTTACATACATATGGACATACATACATGCGCCGAATATGAAATGTACCTACCAAAGAGAAAGCAATTGCAAAAATCGTGAATGAAATACAAAGTAATGGCAGACGATTACAAATGGACAAATATATATATGTATGTACGTATGTACATATAAATGTTCATATTAAGGTACATACATAGTTATAAACGCGCACGTTCACACAAATAAATACATAAACACAAATAAGAGTGTACGCGACCGCTGAACACTGCACATTAGGTCAAATCATTCATTTGGCTGTGCGAAAGTCCAATTTCGTAAACGCAGTTTTACTTTATTTTTTGTCGCCATTCGGTGGAGAATACTCTAAAATGACAAAAACTTCACTTTGTTTTTGTAAAATGAAAAACCCGCAACCAGTTTATTTCTTAAGTTGCAAGTGCATTTTTTTATACATTTTCTAATAATTAAAGGAACGTTTTAAATGGAAAACAAAAATATAAGTGAGTACCTATGTTACAATTAAAAAAAATGGCCTTTTATTATTTGTAGGTAAAACCAAAACTGACTTATTGGCATAACCTCAAAAATTTGCTGATTTACTTCTATTTATGATTTTATTGATGAAAACTGTCATGGAAAATTTCACTATGAAGGAAATGTTCTACAACTAAATGATGCATACCCATCGATATCTTTTTTCACCGAGACTCAAATTTGAAAATAAATTATTATTTGCAATTTTTATGGAAAATTAAAAAAAACATAACGATTATTTTTGATTTTTAATTTATATGCTTAGATGACAGTTGTTGAAGACTTTTTTTTATAAAAGTCGTCAATAATAATCAGTCAGTGGCTTTTACTTTAAAAAGTCATCAATATAAATTAGTCACCGATTTTTACTTTTTAAATCATTCGCATAAAAGTCATTAACAATTTTCGAAGTTAAGAAGGTGTTGGGGAACAAAAGTTTACTACGACTTATACAAATGACTTTTGTAAGCATGATGTAAAAAAATAAAGGTCAGTGACCTATTTTTATTTATAACTTTTATAAATAAAAATCTTCGATAACTGTTATGTAAGACATATGTACAATTTAAAAATTAAAAATAACTGTTACTTGCAGACTATTTAGACAAAAATCAAAAATAATTGATATTTTGGATTTATAAAGTAAAAGTCAGAAATAACGGTTATTTGAGGAGTAATTAACTAAAAGTAAAAAAATAATTGTTAAAGAGTGATTTTTTTAATAAAAGTGTTAAAAGTAATAAACTGTTACTGTCCCTGATTTTGTCCCGTTTATAGCCCGTTTCAGGAAAAACTGTTTTTTTTTTTTGTTTATCATGCTATTACAAAAGGCGAGTTGTTTGAAGTTCGGCTGCTTGGATGTTCGAAAACAGAAAAGCTTTCTTCGGTTGTCAACCATGTTGGGAAAAAAAAATTGTTGCCGTTGATATTTGCGAAAGTTCCATGAAACTCTTAGGAGAAAAAACCTTTTTTTTGCAATTGTATATAACAATTACATATGACGAAAATTATGGAAAACTATTTGGAAAAGATGCTAAAATATTTAGGCCTGAAAACACCACGTTTTTTTGTTGATAAAGTTCTTTTGGAAATCAAAATGCCAACTGTTTCGACCAACAGCCGGAGTCTAACTTTTGCTATCGCTAATATGCTAAAATGCGAAATAACTTAGCCAAAATTTTAGTATATTATCCGGCCCGCAAGTGGTGCTGTGCAACAAAAGCAGCTGTCAAAATTTGCTTGCATTTTAATGGTGGTAATATGTGAAACTGGAAGTATATCTTCAGAGAATCTACGGATTGCAATTTCGAAATTTTGTGCTCAAGGTGAATAGTGCTTTGAACATTCTTTTTACAAATTAGTTTCAAAAACATTCGTATTCTTTTCGGGAAGATACCAGCGCACAGTGGTCGACTTTGTAGGGAAAGATGCATAAAACTCAATTTCTCAAAAATGGACGAACCTATTGAAATCAAATTTTGCACATTAGTGTCACACTATAAAATTCACCTTTCAGGTAAATTAGAAGTCGAAATGTCAGAAGCCACGCCCACCGCTAACGCAAATATTTTTCTTAAATTTGTTTAATTGATATATGTGGATAAAATGCGAGTCTAACAAAAGGTCTCGGGGAAAAGTATACAAAAATGCGTACTTTGAGCTCATACTTGTATGCGCAAAGCAGATTTTTAAAGTTTAAAGTTCAAAAGATTTCTATTTTTATGGAGTCTATAGCTCCGCAGTATATATACATATATGTATACTCTAAATCATTTTTTTGAGGTTTTTTTGTTAAAGTAAGTTTATTTAAAAAAAAGATGCAATAATAATAAAGTCCTGCAGTGGGATTCTAGACATCGCTACGCTAAATCTCTATTGCCAAAATTCTCTCAATAAATAATATATCTGATCAAAATTATGCCAAGCGACAACCGAAGTGATACAATATCAAATCGTAAGCACTGTGGATATGTTATACTTCCCTGGAGCGTTGTATCTAGCCTCATTCATTTAGTGATTTTTAGCGATAAAAATTTAGCGTAGCGATTCCTAGCATCCGACAGCTGGTTTGTATTAGGGAAGTAATAAATCAGTCATATCTTCGGTTAGCCTCGAAGTTTTAGTCTGTGGTAGCTACAGCAAATTCTATATATGTATATAGGTGCGATTGAAGAGGAGGTCTGTTCATTAAATCTTAGTTTGTAATTTTTCACGCAGTTTTTCTTGTATAACATCGCCGAAGGGCCTTTATATTTTTATTATTCGCTTCGGCTGCCTCTTCAGATTTTGCCCTATCCCATGAAGTGAATTTTTGAACACCGTGAATTCTGCATAGAATTTTGCAGAATTGGCGCAAACTTTTCAAAGGAAATATAGGGAAAAGTATAAAAAAAGCTTTTAAGGAGTACATTTTAAGGAACTAAAATCTGTTTATTAGACCTGGTTCTGGGCCATATTTGTTAAAAGTTGAAACGCAAATACGAATGCATTAAAATTGCGTTCGTGAAAGTACCAAGATTTTATCACCATGAATTTTTTTTTTGCTAAAAATTACTTGTTCTCACTATTTTCTTTGAGTAATCATGAAACATACCTGGTTTTTGGGTTTCCATTGATATTTGGATTTTATTTAATACTTAAACTCAAAATATCGCAAAATTCGAATTGACTTAATTAACAAACACTTTTCATATCAAATGATTTTTTTTTTTCTAATGTGTTGTCTTTGAAAAAGCGAAAGTACCGTTTCGTGTGTCAAATGGGAATTCACCATAAAATGTCAATCTATTTGCAATAAAAAGGCATATGTTTTTTTTTGTTATTTAAAAGAGAACTAATTATAAATAACTAACCCTCTTGTAGGATTAAGCACTGGCTACCAGAGCCTTCGGCTCACAAAAAACGGCATTACAGAAAACAGTTTTTGAAAAATCAAAATTTTTGACTTTTATGTAAGGGTCAGTCCACTGTGCAGCGGTTTTTGGTAAAAGTGTCACAAAGCAGCATTAGCATTCTGAATATAAATTATATCGGTGGAGAATTGGGGAATACTAAGTGGCATAGGAATCTCTCCTCAAGGCATATCTAAATAAATATCTTAAATAATTTCTTTTTTTTTAATTTAGGATTTCCATAAATCCATAATTAATCGCTGGATTAAACCATTTGTGTACATATGAACATACTTATTTTATTACGTAGCTCTCTTCAAGGGGGAGTATGGTAGGAAAATACATAACCTGTGTCAAAACCAAGCTAATTGGACAATATTTTCGAGTACTACTTAAACATACATACTCATATTTTAGCATAAAAAAATTAAGCAGGAAAGTCTGTTTTACGAAAGCCAAAGCCAAGCCATGTTTTCACATTTTATTTACTGTCTTTACACTTTTTTTAACGGTTGCGATCATTTTACATTAAAATAATGCAAGATTTTAGCTGCTATTAATTTCGCACAGAAAAATTGATTATTTGACCTAATGTGCACTGCCATGAATATTTGATTTGCTTACATTCTTGAGTGGCTTACTTTTCGCGTCGCACTTCGCACTGCCCGGCTGTACGTTTATTTGCTCTCGATTTTATTTTCCACAGAATTTTGTCAGTTTTTCTCATTGAGTTTTGTAGATTTTGGCGTTGCGTTGCGTTGAGTGGGCGGGGGTTGTAAGCGTGTGCGCGCCACCCTCTCTAACTCAACCGCTGGCTGTCACACTATCCGTTGAACGATTTCATGTTGGTTTTTGTTGTCATTTCTTTATCATTATTTTTGTATATATAATATTTCATTTATTTTCTTGTAAATGTTGCGAACCGCACATGGAAACTTACAGACGCCTACGCAATGTAAATAAGCAGCATGGATTTGGGTAACGCACTCACACAGGCAAAAGCATAGCTGTAAATAACACTGCTGCAGCAAGACCTTGAATAAGTATTCATGTACTTTAGTTATATTCGCCTCACACAATTTTTTTGTGTGTGTTTTTCTTTTCGTTTTTTTTTTTAAATAAATTTAATAATTTAAGTTTTATGCACTGCACATAATTTCGTTAGCATTCACCATCTTACACTTGACGTATAACAAATTTTTGCTTTTGTTTGTATTTCTTTTTTAGCTCGTAAAATTTGTTATTTCAACACAGACAGATAGTAAAAAATTGTGTATGTATGTATGTAGGGTAGGTGTGTTTGTCAACTCAACACTAAGTTTATACCAGACGCGATATTTTCCGGCCTAAGCGACTCTCTTTGTGAATATCCGGCGAAGCACTAAGGATAATTTTTACTAATAGCAATCAAAGTCCTTGGCATTAAAGTTTTGTGTGAAGTGCGAGGCGACGAACACGACGACGACGATGTCGACGATGATGACGAAGCTTTGACGTCATTAGAGCAGAGAGCAGTCACAATCGAGCAACAGCAGTGCCTCAGAGCTTTTGATGTGAGCAGTTAAAATTAGTGGAAGGTAGAGAGCAAAGAGATATTGGCTAATAGCGTAAATCGAAAGCTAAAATGAAGAATGTAATAAATGCAGCAACAAAAATCCACCCTAAGTAGTATTGTTTACATGAAAACATATTTGAGAAAGACGTACTCTAACAGGTATATTGACGATAACAACAAACAAGAAATGCTTTAACGCCCACAGGTTTATAAAATAATCCGCACTTCATTTTGCCCACGGCAACTAACCTACAATAGGATGCTATGGAAAACTTTTAAGCAAAACAAAATATATTTTTCCCCAACAAAGAAACATCTAACACATAGAATGCATATACCTATAATCCTTTTGTTCAAATTCTTCTTTTTCTTGTTTTTTGTTTAGCAAACAAAAACGCTCTCAGAACTTGCTTCGGCCAACCTAATGATTGCTCTCTGTTACCTACGCAATATATTCACGCTCAAATAAATTTTCTCGCAAATACCTTCATTCAGATTTTGAGCTAGTGAAGATCTGAAATCAACTAAAAATTAAGGGCGCAAAAATAGCGAATTTTCCATTTAGCATGGCTCAAGATTTTGTTTGTACAAGGTGGCACAAAAATAATATATCACAAGTAATTTTTAAGCAAAAAAAACAAAACCGACTTCGATTCTCAATTTCGATTTCTCGTCAATTTCTCCATGATCCAATGATCGGAAAATTAAATCAGAAAATAAAGGTTATAAAATTATCAAAAAAATAAAAATCATAAAATAACGATTAAAACGGATCGGAAAAATAAAAATGCAATTATAACGATTATTTTTGATTGAAAAAATAAAAGTCATTGAATAACGATTAAAAATTATTTCAAAAAATCATAAAACACCAGTTAAATACTCATATGGTCGAAAAGCTAGGAACTCACTTTTTATGGTTAAATTACATTTTTTTTTAAATATAACTCTACACTTTTATAATTAAATCTCTATTCAAACTCTCTAAATGCCCAACTATAATTTTTGAATTTTCAATTTCAAACTCAGTTAAAACCTTTTCCACCCTCGCTTACCGTCTGCCAACAAAACTCAATTTTTCTCGCGCATGCGTACTCTCTTCAAGCTCTCTTCTACCAACTTTCTTTTTCTTCCCACCGCCCCCTTTAATATCCACACCCGCTCCCGTTGTTAGTTCTCACGCCCTGTCGTTTAATATTAGGTATTTATTATGTGCACCTGTAGCTCGAGACAAAGTAAGTTCGCTTGAAAAAGCCTACTCTCTACTCGGCCACCAACCCTCCTAACCCATCTCTAAGTGCGGCATGCGCACTGCCGCAACTGTGCACAGTTTTCTGCCATACAACTGTTATATGAACTTCTTTATTTGTTTACTTCATATTCCTTTGCGTTCAAGCTAACTTGTTTACTCCGTATGTATTTATATTCTACCACCACAAACACTCGAATGTTGCTCATACCCAGAAGTAAACTCACCCTTTTCTCTATGCTATTTGCAGCCCACAGGCACTTTTAGCCCTTTTTCAAGCTTGTCAACCTTGTTCGCTTTTTGCGTGCTCTCCTTTTTGGCGAGGTCGCCCATGCTCGTATATTGCTCGCGGCCTGTTGGCGTACACTAATTCGTGCTTGAATTTGTCATTTTTTACGCTACTTAATTTAATAAAACGCTAATGTTTTTTATACATTTTTTTTTCGGATGTAGACTTGGTTTTTCCTGCATATGCGCGCCAACGAATTTGCGCTTTGCCACACACTCAAGTTAATCATTTATAGAGTTAGTTAGGATATTTGTTGGCTTTAATATGAAGAACCAGTTTTTTGTTTACCATTTGAACTGGGTACTAAAAATTCTCCAATTACTTTTATTTGTACTAAATACATGCATATACATATGTATGTATGTGTGTATGTACATTAGACGGCATCACTCCCGATACAAAAAAAAAATATTCATAAAAAAACTCCATTTTTAGGGGTATTTTCAAATCGATCCAACTCACGTAAATCTTAATATTTTTGTGAACGTCTTCAAATATAATAAATTTTGTAACCCCAGCAGAAAACCGCAACTTTTTTTGATGATGCAGTCTAATGTACATTTATAAATATGTGCAGTAGTATGCCGCACAAAGAAGCTAAGACGTTTCCCTAGCGAATAGCAAAAGCTAGAAACTTAGAAACTTACCGCCCAATTCTGTGTTTTCTTGATAATTTTTTTTTAAAGAAATTTTATCAAGATTTTTATCAAGTAAAAGCTTCCTTCGCATTCTGTGTCAATATTTATAAAACAAAAAGCTCTACGATTTCCACATTATTGGAATTGATTTCCATATGAGTGGAACTGATTTCATTGTCACATATGAAAAATATGAAGTTAAACGCAAAAAAGCTTTTGACTGCCGTAGCCGAGTAGGTAGAAATGTCGACTATAATTCCGTGTGTCGCAGGTTCAAATGTCGGCACATGGAGTATTTAATGGTTAGAAACAAATTTATTAATATACAAAATTTATACATTTCACATGAAATTTCAATTTGTCAATAGCATTTTCAATCTTGATAATTTATCAAGAAAAGAGCTTTTGATTTCTGTGCTAGAATACCAATTCTTGATAAATAATAAAAAATGGACAAATTATAAAGATTTTCAATTTATCAAGTGCACTGAATCGGGCTGTTAGAAACGATTACTCAGCGTGTCACCTATTACCTTTTCTCCTTGTTTCGATTCTCAGCACTTGTATTTGTGCACGTAAAATTGTAAACTTTTAATTTGATTGGTTTGAAAATAGATAAAAAAATTACAATTAAAATAAATGTATTTACGCGTTCGAATTGTGATTTTTTTTTTTAATTTTTTTCCTGTCTTTATTCAAAAGTTTGTTTTTCGATTGGCAAATGAATTACATTTATACAAAAAATTATATTTGTGTGGCATATTTGTAGGGATTTTATTAAAAAATGAAATGAGAGCATTATTCTCTCATGGCTATCTTTGCACTTAGAAATTTAATTTAGAAATCAAAAATCTATAGTTGTCCAATTTTCTAAGTGAAGTTGTTTTTTTTTTTTTGGGTAACTACATACACGCGCTGCTCATTTGCCAGATATTAAATTTTCAAATCAAGTCAAATCAAAGTCGTGCATAACTGAGCTTTAAAGTGCGTATTTTCATTTTTCACTTACCTTTTTATTCTATGTGTAAACATACATACATATTACTGTCCACCATGAGTGTATCTGCAATGAAAAAATAAATGAAATTGTTATTTTGAAAATGGCTGAAATAGATTTTAAAAACAGGGACTAGAAAAAAAATTTTCGAAATATACTTATTTTTAGGTCATTGCAATTCGTTACTTCACGAATATAAGTTTTGGGTTGGTACTCTCCTGTTTTTATCATATATATGTACATACATTAGGGTAATCCTACATGTACAATAACATTTATTTTAAAAATTAAAAAATTATTTTAAATTATAATAAAATTAACAATTATTTTAAAATTAAATTTTAGTAGGGTACATTACAACACTGCTTGTTTACTTTTTCATACCATATGTGTGGCGTAGAGCAAATTTCAAAATTTATTTGTTGCATTCTAAAAAAAATTGTTTAAATTTACGCATTAAAAGAGAGGTAACCTAATGCGTCCCAATTTATACACCGTGTAATAAAATTCAACAACTGGCTGTTTACTTTTAAATACCAAATTTGTCGCGCAATCAAAATTACACATAAAGTTTTAAAATAGAGTCAATATAAGCACTTAATGTATATTACTAGTAGGAAATGTGTTTTTACTTTCAAAACTTTGCAATTTTAAACATCTCATGTTCAAAATTAAGTTCTGAACAACTTATGTATATACATATGTATGTATTTACATAGATTCTGGTTGAAAAATAGATACTTTTCAGTATTTAGTACTTTTAAATGCACTTTTTGGAGTGTAGTTTTGTCATTTTTTCTTTTATTATATTTAAAAGCATCAGATTATCATAAAAATAAATTTTGAGAGAAGTGTACAACTGTCCGAGAATATTCCACAGGCTGCACGAATGTGGTCTTGTGATATTTTGCCGCAGTGGCGGCGAAGAGCAATTTTCAAGGCGTTGATTGTCTCATATTTTTTAGTTGATACTTTGGCTTTGAGAATGGACCATATTGGAAAATAAATTGGGCTTAAGTTCAGTGATTATGGTGGCCATTGCTGCGAAGAAATGAAGCTGGCAAGTTTTTTCTAAAAACCTTAAATTTTGCAAACTTTGTACAGTGGCGCTGAGTCTTATTGAAGCGTACAATGATTTCTACCAAATTTATCGTCGCACATACGACTATTAAGATGAAAACTCGGTCAAAAGTCAGATTTACCAACTTTGGAAAAAGTTGAGTTAAGCATACGTTTCCTAAAATGAAATATCTAATCTATTGAAAGGTAGCCATTAAAACTTCCCCGTCGATTTCCCTTTGACATACGTCCACCTGAAAACAGTCATTGTTGGAAAAACGCTTTAAAGGAAAAAATAGCTACTTTTTTTGTAACAAAATATTTAAAACAAAAAAATTACTAATTAGTAATGTCTATATACAAAGTACGCGATGGGATTTTTTGTCGAGGTCATCAGATCTGTACCGTTCGTTCATCACAAATTAAAGGGCTTGAGCTGTGGATGTGCAATAAGATTTTTTATTTAAAAAGTTAAAGAAATTGTAAAAATATGGGTATCAACCGAAATGGTTTGGAAAGGCTTTGTATCTTACCTACGTGTAGGAGGGTTGCCACATGTTTAAATATTAAAAATGGAGGTCAAACGAAAGAGTTTTAAGAAAT